GAAATATAGCCTCATCAAAAATTACATGCCTGGATATGTAAATTCTTCCATCAGCAGCTAAACACATATACCCTTTGTGTTGTGGACTGTATCCTAAAAATGTGCATGACTGTGACCTGAAATTCAGCTTGTGTTTCTGAAACATCCTCAAGTGAGGATAGCATCTGCACCCAAACACTCTCATCAACTCATACTCAGGCTTCTTTCCTAACAACTTCTCAAGTGGATATACACAATCCAGTACTTTTGTTGGCAACCGATTGATGATGTACACAGCGGTGACAACAGCATAGTACCAGAAATGCAGTGGCATTCCAGCTTGAGCCAGAAGTACCAAGGCCAATTCCACAATATGTCTATGTTTCCTCTCTACTACTCCATTCTGTTCAGAGGTATGAGGACATGTTACACGATGAAGAACCCCTTCCTTAGCTAAAACAGACGAAAGGCTCCTATACTCACCACCCCAGTCACTTTAGACAGCTTTGATAGGCACACCAAATTGAGTCAACACCATCTTTTGAAATTGTTTGAAGACAACCATAACTTGTGACCTATCCTTTAGAAAATACACCCAAGAATGCCTTGAATACGCATCTACAAATGACAAGTAATAACGAAAACCATTGGACACTACATGTGCTGGTCCCCAAATATCAGTAAAAACAAGTTGAAATGGTGCAGTATAAACAGTAGTAGAGTCAAGAAACGGTAATTTATGGCTTTTGCCAATGCAGCACGCTTCACACATATTATTCATATATTTAGAAACCAGTACATCCAGTGATTTACAAACACGAGCAATAATATTATATGTTGCATGTCCTAACCGACGGTGCCAAAGTTCTAAGCTATTTGTAGCAACAGCAGTGTGTGCAGCAACATTTTGACAAACACTTGCAACTCGATCTCTTGAGAAAACGTATAACCCATCCTGAACACGGCCACGCAGCAAAATGTTCTTAGTAACAACATCACGAACACAGCATCCTTGGGCATGGAATTCAAAGAACACCCCATTGTCCCTAGATAACTTAGACACCGAGAGAAGATTTTATGTTATTTGAGGTACATGAAGCAAACCATTTAACAACAATGATCTGGTTGACGTTTCTAATGTAGCATCACCAGTCATATTAACATGTAAAGAGAGACCATCACCAACCATTAGCTTACCTTGGCCACCACACTCTACCCGATTAGTAATATTACCTGCATTTGGTGTCACGTGATGAGTGGCACCCGAATCCACTACCCAATCATATTGACTAGATGTAGAATCCATATGATCTCGAGAAGTACCCTCTGTCATCGACTGAGATCGAGACTTATTTGAACATCATTCACAAGCAGCATTGTCATAAGATACAATATTAGCCATGGCTGAGTTAGTTGTAAGCTGAGACTGATTTGCATTAGATGACACAATCTGAAAGTTCTCATCATACCGATGCCAACATCGGTCAACAAGATGGCCTGGCTTCCCACACAGCTGACATTAAACTTGAGACCTGCCACGTCCACGACCAGTCCTGCCATTAGATCTCCCACCAGAATATGCAGGTTGATGCGATCGATGATAATGAGAATATGTATTAGAGTCATCCTTTGTAGACTCAAAACCACGAGCAATATTCGCACTTGCTTACACCACCTCTTCTTGAGCAGCGAATCCTGCTAACTGTGTTTCAGCATCAATAAGAATTGTACATACTTTTTCCAAAGACAAAGCTTCTCCACTGGTGGTGATCACTGCCATGAAGGGTTGATACTCCCTGGGCAGACCTTTTAGAATACTTGCCACCTGACCAACGACAGAAACATCACTTCCACAAGACGCCAAAGCATCACACGTTTCTTTAACTCGTGACAAATACACCCGCATAGTCTCATCACCCTTCTTGAGAGATTGCAGTTTACAGTGCAGATTCATCACTGCTGTTGATGATCTTGTAGCAAAAAACTGTAGAACAGTACTCCACACTGTAGAAGCAGTCTCTGCTCCAACAAACTGGGACAGTAAATGGTTGCTAATTGTTGACAACAGCCAAGAAGCCAACGCACTGTCTTAGGCCACAAAGTCCTCGTATGCTTCATTTGGGATCATCGCACCACTTTCATCAGCCACCATCTCTGGTGGAGACTTCAACGCACCAGTGAGCAACCATTCAAGTCGATGACTGCGAACGGTAAGTAAAACTTGCTGTTTCCATAGCAAGAAGTTGACTTCATCGAGCACCACGTTGATCTTTTTATTTGTAAACATCTTGACTCTACTGGGGGAAAAGGAAACCACTTCACTAAGTGACATTATCACATCGCAAGACTAAAGAAAAGGTCACCAGGATCTCCGGCGATTGATACCTTGTTGGAATATTATGAAACTTCATGAATTGCAATCAATATATGAAAAACCCCTTTTTATTTACATAACCTTGTATGCTGTTATATACAGCTTGATGGATTACACTAACTGCTACTAACAAAGCTAACAGAATCAAGAAACTACCTAACAGCATTACCAACCTTAACTACTAACAGTACTAAGAATCACTTCAGTTACAACTACTTGAGCAGCTCAACTATGCCTAACATATTATAAAATTTATGCTACATTTTGATTATAAACATAAAAATTATAGGGTTTGAAGTAGAACTTATGCTGAGAATTGTTAAATTTTATGAGCTGGAGTCCCAGAAAAAGGATAAAACTTGTGTTTTAGCAACATAAATTACACGATGGCAGCTTGGAGTTGTTTTCATGGAGCAAAGTTGAAAAATAATAATTTCGTAGGATTGGTGGTCTTATGACTTCACCTTAAATAGCTTATTTCTAGAGGAATGATCGTGCCAACAGAGATATCAATCAAGTTTTTTTTTCTTTTACTCACCCCCTATATTTTTTTATTACTTCTTAGGTCATGAAGATTAATAAAGATATAATTTTTTTGGACATTAATGGAATCGGAAGAAGTGATGGAGAAGATAAAGAAAGCTGGGGAGAGAAAAGGGTACGGAGTGGAGGAAGGGAAAAGAGGGGTGCCGGTGCTGGGAAAGAGAGGGTGGGCGGTGGCGGAGAAGGGAGAATGTATTTTGACATATTATATAATTTTATTTTTAATTGATTTTCATTTATTCACATAAAACAAATTTAAATTAAATGGTGTGTTACATGTTTTGATTGGTCGCCAAATTTTTTTCTAACAAAGTTAACGTTTTCAGGTAAATGGGTAACATTTTAAACTTCATGAGGCAAAACATACCGAAAATACTTTAGGGGACAACTCGGTATAAATGATATATTTTAGGGGTCGATGTGCATTTAAGCCTATAAAATGATACTTGTTCAAAATCTTTTTAGTCTTTTGATAATTCACAAATACCTTGCAAACATAATCGTTTAAACTCGAGACTTCAAAGAAGAATAACACTCCCTTTTATCACGTGATTACATAATAGGTTAAAAAATAATATCTTAATTTTTTATAAAATTATAAAATATTTTATTTATATAATAATAATAATAATATCAACAAATAAACATTTTAACAACATATGGAATCTCAATAAGATCCTCCTACAAATGTTTATACTCCCTCCATCCCACTAAATGTATCTATTATTAACTTTAAAAAGGTTAAAATTTTAAACTTTGACCACAATTATTTTAAACATTTTAAATAATTAAATCTTATAAAATATATATTTAAAAATTATTTGATTTAAAGTTTTTAAAATATATCAATAATAAATTTTAAATGATAATGAGTAAAAATTAAAAAGCTTAATTATTAAATTTTATAAAGTTTGACAGATTTAATGAGAAAGAGGGAGTCGCATTTTTTATTTTAAGTGAGTGAGAGAGATGACATATATATATATATATAACCCTTTTCTATCCCAATGCGATCCTCCTACGAGTGGTCAGCTTTTACTTTGGAATCTCAATTTTTTCCCTTCCTCTTACACGGTTACCAACATTCTAGAGTTTCATCACAAATACTTGCTCGTTTGAAAGCCAAAATCTTTTGAGATTGGTTTTTCACACAGTACTTTTATTCGAGCAGATTTCTTATTCAATAAAAATAAATTTGATGTAATTTAATGAGATTCTTATGAAAGATATATATTTGATGTGGTTTACCCAATAAAAATAGACCCAAGACTACTCAATATAACTACACTAACAATTGGTATCAGAACATAAATCAGCATTTAAAGTCAATTCTAACGCAGTTTATGCCAATTAAAGATATTCGATCGCTAAGGCTCGACGAAACTAATTATGGGTATTACAAAATCCTGCATGTGTATCTTTTTGAAGTCAAACGATGAATAAACATCAATGGTTGTTGTTAAGAATAGAAGCCCCACACGCATAAAGTTAGCGGTTCCATCCTCCACAAGCATGTATGTCTATTTGAATGACTCAAAATCAACATTAGAACTCCGCTTGTTTAGTTAGTGTATGAGATAATATAATCTGATATTTAACTCACTTTTACCAGTTGGAATACCAATTATGAGATTAGAAGCAATGAAGATTGTTGAAAAAATATATACATTCTGAATGACAAGTGGATGTATGATTGCTTGGTTTATTGCTTGTTAAGAAAGACGTGTGTGCCATAATTAAGGCCATTGAAACCTTAATAAAATTCTTAGTTAATCAAATACTATAAAAATATTACAATCAACATTCTTTTAACTTAAACTTTTGGTTTCACCACCGACTGGTATCAAGCCATACCAGAGAATGGCAATTTCAACCGTGCTATGGCTACTCATACCATGCAAACTTAATTAAGGTAGTATCTAAAGGAAAGATTAAATTCAAAAACATATTATGTAGATTCATTTCAAAATACGTCAAAATGATTAGGATCCTTCAATATGTTTAGTTAAAAAGTTCCATTACCAAAGCTTGATGCTTGGTTCTTTTCATTTCTATCCTTTTTCTTATGGAGGATTTATAATGGCTTCACTGCGGTAAGGCAAATCAAGGTGGACTAGTTGCGACTCAATAGACCTTTGCAATCAGTTCAATGAGAGGAAAATGTGTAGCTCAGATTCATGTCAACAAAGTGTATTAAAGGCAAGTAGCTGCCAACCCTGTTAGCTGTCTAAATGCATGAAAAAATCAACAACTTTTAGTAGACTGATATCACTATCGGTCTTGGCCCGACATACCTTACTGCATTGCAAAATATATATATATTGGTAGGATGCGTGAAATTTTAAAAACAGAAGCCAATTAGTTTTTTCCCCTGAAAAGACATTAGGAAATTTAGAAAAACAGAAAGAAAAATGAAAGTTGAATATGCCATAAGAGGGAAAATCTCATACCTGTAAAACTTGACAGTTTTCTAGCATGCTTTTTCCTCCCTGAAATTCATGAAAAGAATATTAATCAAGAGCCAGGCTCTATAGTTCCAGAACAAAGATACATGATTTCATGCATATTACAATACTACACAATATTCAAAAAAGCTGAAAAGTTCAAGGACAGTCTTTGGAGCTTAAATAACAAAGAGAGTATCGTTGGAAAGAAATCAACTTTTTGTTAAGTACACATTAATTGGACATCTGAGAAAATAATAGAAATTAGGTCATGATACAAAGGAAACTATATATAAGGAACAAGAAAGTAGAATAAAAATCACAACTTTGTCTATAGTAAGCTAGAAGGTGTCTTGTGAATACATGATGCTTTGACCTTCTTCAAATATTAAACCTTTTGAGCATATGACCCTACAACGTGAGATTAGCCTCATGCTCCCAGGGCTCAGAAGGCCCTCCTTAGAAACTTATATAATATCGTATGTGAAAAATATAGAATGTGAACATCAATTAAACGAACCAGTCCAGCTTAACAGGGAACCTTTCACATGCTGCCACCAGACCCATCAACTACTATGGCTTCAACCACCTTATGACCAACTTTTGATCTTCGCTTATTGTTACTTTTTGAGTTCTATTAGTACTGCTACACGTCATGACAGCCAGATTCTTCTACCAAATTATTCTCGCCCAACAGAGATTGAATTTCTTTGCCTCCCATAAGTAGAGTTAGCACTTCAAGCTTAGCTTTATTTAGAGTAATTAAGAATAAATTATTCATCTAAAACGAAACTTCTCTATAGTTCCACAAAACATTTCCATTATGAAATGGAAAAGTCATGACCAGTACTGAACTAGAATTATATCTTTCACTAAGGGATCTGATCAATTTTGGTCCCTGCAGATTCAAAGTCTGAACGTCGTAGTCTACAGAATATATCAATGTAATTATTTGCAACTTAGTGATCAAATTCCCAAATGCCATTGTAGTCTAACAACTAAATAGCAGAGGTATATTTTCGCACAAGAAATGGAGCAACAAATCAACTTTAATCTTCAATCTTGTTTTTACTCTTTTTTGCTAATATTTGCTTTTAACTATAAAGGAGCAAGAATAATTTTTTCTTGAATAAATTCTAAGGTGCATGACCTAAAATCATACCAGAAATAACACCATGCAGGAGCACTTTCACACAATTATCCATAATTTTAGAGGAAATGAAAGATGTGCCTTCAAAATAGTATAAAGTATGTTGCTCGAATTATTTTTCTTGAAGTACCCGACACACATCTTACAAATATTATCGGGATATAAGTACGAAGATATCACTCTCAAAGAACCTTCTAATACATGAAAAAACTTCAAAATAAAATAAGACGCCCATGTCAGTCACATATATCTATATATCTAACACAACCTGAGTCCGAGTACCATTGGTCTAAACAACACAAAAACTTAGCATCGTACAAGCTAATGACCACCTATATTTCAAAGCTATTTCTCCATGATTTCGAATAGAGAATTATAATAACAAAAATACGCACAAAATATAAAATCAGGAGGTACAAAATGAAGCCGGAACAAACCTAGAACACCCAAACCCACTTCAGGAAACAGCTCCAATAAACAGGATAAAACAAAAAAATTAAGGTAGCTTTTGGAAACTTAAATTTCGAAAGACTAATCAGGGTTTAAAAAAAAAGAGATTTTTGTGATGAAACACAGAGAAATGTAATGACGAATTCTCATATTCATTAAATCGGGCACCTATTCATTAATAGTGTGAAATTCATAAACATACTTGTAAAGTTGACAATTCAAGCTTTTTGATATATATATATATATGATAATATGGAATCTCAATTAATTTGTACATAATTAATTCATTTTAATTCAAAAACTCTATAAAAAATTAAATTGAAATCCCAATCTTCAAATTCATGTTCATAGGTACAGAAGAATGTTTCAATTCAATGGGAAAGAAAAAAAAGGCATACCTTGGAGTAAGGGATGATATGGTCATAGTCATGGCACAAGCAACCAGAACAACCAACGAGCTTCCTGAAAACAATGTTGCCAACAGCGTCACGCCGCCAGCGAGCTGGGTCTCGTCCCTTGACCTTCTCGGCTTTTTCCCAGCATTGTTGTTTGACGCTGTAAGGAAAGCTCCTGGGATTAGGGCTTGAATCCGGTGAAATTTGGAGATCTTCAAAAAGACTGGTGATTGCAGAGCTCCCTTCTCGCTCCGTCACCGCCAGTTCACCGTCGACCAAAGAGGCCGACGGTGGCGCAACTTTTGATGAACGCGAACGATGCGGGGAATATGGGCGGGACTTTGATTGTATCTTGGTCTTGGAATCTTTGCCATCTATTATCATTTTTTTATTTTTTATTTTTTATTTTTTATTTTTGTCGCTGTGGATTTGGTTGGTGTTATGGCTTCGATTTGGGAGGAACCTCACTTAACTTCTTGCAATCCGGATAAGGTTAAACTATTAATTTCATCACTCAATTTTGATTCTGTATCTATTTTTATAACTTAACTTTAAAATTTTTCAATATGATTCCTAGACTTTGAAGTCAATTTTGGTTTGGGTCTAGGGTTAATGTGTTATTAGGACGTGTCGATTTGAGACTTGAGTTTGGGTCAGTTTGGAACAAATTTAATACTAACACATGATATATAAACTTAAAATTTATTTAAAAATATTAATTATTTTTTGGTATATCAAAATACCAAAGTATGTTCAACACATGGTATATGGTAAATTATGAGGAATGCCACTTCTATTTGAGTTTTGTGTTATTTTGATAGAAATTAAAGAGAAGTTATGTTTCAATCACTTGTTCTATTAAATTGTTCTAATTTAGTTATTGAATCATTAATTTTTGTTACATTAATGGTGTGTCACTTTAACAAATGCTTAATCTATATCACATATTTTATTTTATTTTAGTTTTTAATAACTATGTCTTTATGACACGTTTTTTTATACTTTCGTGGCACATTTTCGTCCATCTTTTGACACATTTTGATATTTTTATGGGTTGTTTGGTCGATTTCATCATTTAATTTTCTCAGGGTTGAATTTAATATCGCCTCAACCGATCAAAATGATACTTATTTGTTATCCTGGTGGTCTACCTTGCTTTGGACTCTCAGATGAATTTGGATATGTGATTTGTGTTCAAAGATAATTTTCTCATGACGTTTAGCTCTGATTTGTGATTGTCGGTGGTCTTCATATAGTTTGATCCTCTGTTGTGGTTCGTTTTCTGATGTAATCAAATCTATTCACATCTTTAATTTGTTCAAGTTTTTTTTATGTTTTTTTAACTTTTTCCTTGTATGGTCCTTATATGATCATAAGTGATTATTTTCATGTCAATGATATAGGAAATGTCTTAACCAGTGATGGACCGAGGGGCAGGTGGGGGCAGTTGTCCTCCTGAAAATTTAAAATTACCATATATTTTAGTTTTGTTCTATGATTTTCTATTGAAAATATGTTTTAGCCCCTGAAATTTTATAAGTTCATGTTCGTCCCTCCTAATATAAAATCATGCATTCATCACTGGTCTTAGTTATGTGTTTAGTTTACACTTATGGTTGTAAACTATCATTGTAATTTTGGAATTTTTTTTAATAATACTAGTGGGTTCTATTTATATATAAAAAAGTTTAGACAAAATATCAATTTTTTTCAACTAATTTTCACCTTTTTCTTCTAATAAACTTGGATTTCAAGTTAATCGTTAGCTTTAAATCGAGCGGTCAAAAATATAGTTTTTTTTTGTATAATTCCCGGTTTTTAAGGCTTCACCTTTATTAATTCGGACAAAACACAAGGACTCGAACTCAAAACTTACTTGAGCGATAACAAGCTGTTTAGTACTTGAACTAACTCCGTTGGTAAAAATATAGCTTTTTTATACATTTACATGGACTTATTTGCAAGGTGAAGAAAAGTAGTGAAGTGATTCTTCATAGAAATTTCCATGAACTTGTAAGAACAACTACATGTTCCATATACATTTATTCTCAAAAACCAAGAAAGTGGTAAGAAGTTGCAAAATTCCACCCTTTGGCCTTAAGGAAAGTATAATTAAAGTGTTCATAACATATTTTTATGTTGTGTCGTGTCATAATTTTATTTAAAATATTAATATAGTGGACGTGAATGCATATGAACGCATTGTTTTTCCTGGGCTTTTCCTCGTGGACTCTTCAAATATATATATATATATATATATATATATATATATATCAAAGTGGTGTAGCATCCACACTCCAACTCCATCCATTTCTCTGTAAATTTTAATACATTGCACATCGATTTCTTGTTGCCACCTTCTTCAACTTCATAGAACAAAATGCAGAAATCACCATCGTCGTCGTCATCGAACGGGATGGTTCCGCTATGGGGACTCGTTGTGTCTCTTATCTTTCTCAACTTCGCAATCATACTGCATGATTTCTATTCGAGCATTCGTTTCATCATCAGTATATTCAAATTTATCCCAGTAATCATTTCTTGTATCCGCGCCTCTCCCTCTGCAACAACAAAGAAAATCTGCAGAAACTGCGAGAGAACTTGTAATGCTAATGCAGCCGGCGAAGATCATATAAACCTGTCGTTTTCGGAATTGAAAACGGTGATCGAGAACGAGGGAATGGCTCAAATAGAGTGGCTGTTCGAGGAAGAAGAACAGAGTTTGATGGAAGCGAAAGAAGCTTTCGATGTGTTAGATGAAAACAAGGATGGATTCATCGATGCAAAGGAGTTGAGGAATGCATTGTCTTCGTTAGGATTCATCAAGGAGGCTTCGGAAGATGACTGCGAAAGGATGATTAAAGGGTTTGATGATGATTTGGATGGTCAAATTGATTTCAATGAATTTTTAAAAGCGTTGGAGACAAGTTTCTGCTCTCCAAATTAAGCTTCCTTTCTTTTCCTTTTTCCTTACCCTCCTCGTGTGTGTATGTATTACTTCAACTTAAAATTACCTACAACTTAAGACTTGTTTGTTATAAGAAAAATAATTTTCCATTGTATATTTGATTTTTATTTACTTTTTTTATATAATTTTTAAAATATGAATTTTTTTTAAACGTAATCAGAGATTCTAATTTTAAATTTTACAATGAGAGGAGTTTATCAGATTCCATCATAAAACCTCTATTGTTGCATCAGTTCTATCAGAAGAAAAGGTCATAAACAGGAAATGTTCGGATTCGGGTGCATATCTGTGAGTCACTTCATCTACAAATTATGGCAATGTCCCGATGGAGGCGTTTGATTCATGAAAGTAGGTTTTGTTTGCTGCGATAAACAACGATCCAAATCAACGACTTTAAACTATATCAAAGTAAATAAAACAAGTTCGACTATACAAATATAACGAATCCACTGACTTAGTAGGATGTAAGTAGAGCAAGAGAAATGATGTTTCCACACCCGATGGTAAGAATTCCCATAAAAAATGGCAATGCCACAAGGGCCAGAAGAAGATATCCAAGATTGATGACCACTGTTAGACATTGGTCTCGGGGCTTCGAAGTCGGTAATAACTTGGTAAACTCCTGGATTTCCTTGTAAGTTCCTTGTCATCTCAGGCTTCAACTTCTCATCCTCTTGCAAGTTTACAGAACTATATTGCAGGTACAAGAATTTCTTACTGAGTTGGGAATTTAAGTACGCGTCACTCCCTAATTCAGGCCATTACTTTCCTGTACTGTATTATCATTAACTTGTACTGAGCTGCCGACATCGGTTTGTTTACCAGAGGCAAAGAAACCAGAATAACTGGCAAGGGAGCCATCTGCAGGGCACCCCGTATCTCTGGATTAAAGGAACACAAAAAATTCATTTTGAGATTAAGTCAGCTGGTTGGCTTTGAGAGAAATTTTTTATTCAAATTGAATGTCAAAGCAGACTAATAGGAATTGAATTTGAAGGAAAATATCCATAAAGGTCTTACAGATTAGGGAGAAAGTTGGGATCATTTTGCAATAACATTTGCTGATTGTCATTGTTTGGAAGCCGTGTAACAGGTTCGCCTTCTTGCACCCCGCCCATCATCACAGCAAAGGCATCGCATTCTGAAACTGTAAGCCAAACAAGTTACAAGATATTACCCCCAAACGAAAGAGACATGGAAGAGAGTAAATATTTTGCTACCTGGTAGTAGATTCTAGTGGTAGAAGATGGTGCTTTCCATAGTTTTCCTGCCAAGATAGTAGCATGTGTAAGTAATTTGTACATAATTATGGCCCAGACTGGATTCTATTAAATTGGTAACTTTATCAATACAAAGAGGCAAAATAATCAAGCAGTTTTCATCAGGATCTGGGAAGGCTAAACTTTATTGTAGTTAAACCTATGTGACTCAAACTTGTGTGATTGTTGGATATGAGTATGTTTCAAATGCAGCTAGGGTCAGATTTTCTAAGTGTTTCCATGTATTTGGAGGATCCTTGGAGGTCATATCTCCATATGTATGTGCCGGACACGAGTTCTATACATGGATACTTAAAGAAAAACGGAGAGTCGGAACAACAAAGTTAAACAACATTATCACTTGAACCAAGCAAATACATACAATGTGTTGATACTTGATTATGCTCTATATGTGGAACATATACATAACAAATATATATATATATATATATATATATATATGCATGTCTGTATGCATTTCTCTTTTTGTCTTGACTACGAAAGAAAACAACATACCTTGTGTATCCGTATACGCTCAATGGATTCTCTAAGTGAATCTTCCATCTGCCTAAGATGTTCTATGTTGTCAATTTTATCTGGATTACTCCAGTAGCTGAAACCATCACATGATACGATAAGAATTCCTAAAATTACTCCAAAAATTAATCCATAAAACAAATAATCATGAACACAACCAAAATAAAGAGAGAGAACGCAAAACAACAACTTAAATTGCTAGCGTCCAAAGGTTAGAGGCGAGCTATTAACAGAGTTTGAGTTACATCAGAAACTAACAACTTAATAAGTTGACCACCAGTGGTACTTTTCCTTTTCATACAGTTACGTTATAATTTTTTTAAAAATGTAAGCTTATATTATTCTGGATGATCTAGCATTTATCAACAAGCCAATCCCTTAAATTATAATATCTCAATATGATAATATATAGCAACATTAAACCTATGAATCAAGTTCCTTCCACCCTTAAACCCACCATATCTTAATTCCAATCAAATTGGCCATAAACTTGCCACGTAAAATGCTAATGTAGCAAATGCCGAAACTTCCATAATGGCCTCAAAATGCATAATGTATTTTCTATCCTCAGGAAAACATTAAACTAAAACACTAAACTCAGAAAAAGTAGTTAATTAGGGTCTAAAGATCAATTAGAGGATGTTCTAATAGACAAAGCTAGCATATATTGCAGTAGATTAGAGTTTAAGAATATAATTTACTATAATACGATAAATGGCGAGTCTTCTTCTTATCACATGCAAATATTTTATAAGCAAGAACAAAAAGAAAAAGCAATACTTTAACAACCAAAAGCTCCAAAGGTGCACCTCAGTCTCTTATGTACTTCGTTAAGCCGAGCTTGCAACATTGACACTTCATTAGTCATTTCCTGAAAATAGCAATATCCATGAAGCCTAACAAAAATAAGAATTAGAAGAAAACCTAAGATCAAATGGGACAAAGGTTGCAAGCAAACTTCATACCTCAACAGATTGACTGCTGCAAAGTTAAAAAAAAAAGAGAGAGAGAGATTAAACTCCCCCTAATCTCTTACTTAAAAATAAACATATTACCTGGAAGAAAATGAAAAAACAATACATACGTTGCACCTAGAAAGTCTTGTATGTTTAAATCATGGTCCAATTTCTTGAAGGTTTTCTTCAGTGCCTATATTCAAAATAACAAGAACAAAAAATTAGAATGATAGAAGAGTAATAAGGCTATACTCTTCACTTGAAGCAGAATATATTGAAGAATGTGTGTAGCAAGGAGTCTTACTTCAAGGCTCTCCAGTTTCCTGTCATGGACCGAGAAAAACCAGGTAGCTAAAATGCCATTTGAATACCACAGATTACTATACAGGTCAAAATTCATAATGCACACCTTTTTGCCCTTTCTTGTGGAGTTAATTGTGCAAACTTTGCAATAACCTCTTCGATGGAGCTGAAAAAAGAGCAAACAAGCACAAAAAATGGGCTGATTACGTTACATAATTTTCTTCTACAAGCATGTCATCTTCCGTTATATAACCATAACTAAATGCATATATATATAATTATTTAGACAATGATATACCTATGGCTACTTCGGATATTGCTTGTAACGTGCATGAAAAATTGTTATTAGGAAAACAAAGAATAACAGTAAAATATATTCTAAGAAATATATTTATGCTTTTAAATGATAAAAAATCAAAATACAGCACAAATCCAGAGATCAAAAGTGGCAAAAAGTATAAATTATTAAAATCCTAGTCCACCATGATTACTAATTAATCCAGCTAATCATCAAAATTGTCTAAGAATAAGAATGCTGCAATGAGAACTTGCACACAAATCTGTATCTTTATCTGTAGTTCATATAAAACATACACAAATTATCAGTATATATTCTCTACTACTTCTGCTATTGTTATACATTGTATCGATGTAATATTGATTTCTCTCTCAAATGAACACAAAAATATATAGGAAGGTCAAATGTGGCTATCATTTGCAAACAAATAGGAGTTTAAATGTTCCAAAGAACTAAAGAAGCAATGATTCATTAATCTCTAGTAAAACATAAACTTAAGCCAAACGATGATTCAATCCTTCCAATACCTGCGCTCTCCATTGAATAACGTAGGCTTCCCGGTCAGAGAAAACATGAGAAGGATGATATGACTGTCGCATAATATCGATAATTCCTTGGCTTTCTTCAAGATTCCAGTTCTTCGTTTCGAATAAGTAACTTGCCTGTTGCTATAGCTCTCTAACCTTTTAATTTTTAGTTTAACCCTTCCCATCCTGCAAATTCGAAAGAAAAATCATGGATCACTTTCTTAAACCATATTTTCATTCTAAGTCACAAAAATCTCCACATTTACCCACTCTAATTAAGCAAAACAAAGCTGTACAAGTGGAGCTCACGTCCCGGGCATCAACATCAGACAACCATGTGATCTTCAATAGAATTTCAAACGCAGATACCCAAAATTGAAAAATTGGAAGAAAATTTAATAGAAAAATGTTAAACATAAAAAAGAAAAAGGATTTGTTGACACCTATCATCACGTTCCCTTTTCCACAGAAACAGAGCATATCTTATTGTAGGAAAAAAAGTTTTTAAGTTGAATGTGATTAATATTTCAGAAACCCGGAAGGGAAATACCAATAAAATTACAAATTAAGAAAATTAAAAAAGAGAGAAAATCTGTTAACTCCCAATGGAGAGAAAACAAAAATTTTATCTTTGTCCCCTAAAAAAACCCAATTAACAGAAATGGAGTATAGCCGGGAGAGAAAAGCATTAAGTAATAGGAGAACAACAATTGTTTTGGTGAATTCATTGAGATTAAAAATAAATAAATCAAACAGTGAGGCTGAAAAAAAATAAAAGAAAGAAATGAATGAAAACGAAAGAGAAATGAAACCAGAACTTCAATTTAGAGAGGAGGAGGGGTCAGGCTATGATTTCGGTGGTTCAAAACACTGAAATTTCGTAACTTCACGAAGAAGGGGAGAGCTTAGAGACGGTGGATAGAGCCAGCCAAATAGAGGGTGAAATGTTCCACCAAATGTTCATGAAAATCTAAACCAGAAGATTGCATAGATTGGACCGGATCATGTGTTTTTTATTCAACAAACATTTAAGAAAATTATTGAAGGAAAGTTATTTTATATAGTACCATAGAAACTTTAATTTATATAATTATATATA